TAGTAGAAAAACCCACAATGTAAAAACTAGATTTATTGAAATTGAGACTACAGTTTCGGAATCCAGCTGGAAAGAGGGAAGAGGTGGTATGGAAGAGAGAGAGGAAGGGCAACACACACGCATATATATACATATACGTGTAGATCTGTCTCTCTTTATCTATTAGTTTGTCTTTTTATCTTTATATATATCTATATGTTTATCATGCACACACCCACATATATATTTGTATATATGATATATATATAACACATATCTACATATATATATGCATATATATTTGTGTATGCACATATATATATACATACAAATATATATGTATATGTATGTTCATACATATACACACACACATATATATATGTGCATGTACATATCTACATATAAATACATTTATCTATCTTCATACATGAATATATATAAATCAATTTATATACGTGTATGTGTGTGTGCATGTATATGTGTGTGCGTGCAGTGTATCTTCGGTATGGCCAAAAGAAAAGAAAACAAATCATAAAAAAGAAGTTATTTATTTTGTAAGAAGTTCAAAGTTTTTTCCCAACACCAAGAGAACCGTTTTAAGCCATTGTGAACGCCTTTTACGGTTCGTTGTCTAGGAAGTCCGTTGGCAATTCGGTTCGCTTGTTAGTTCCTTGAGGAAGCGAGAACCACGCTGACGGGAGAGTAACCTTGGTTCTGCTGGTTCCTGTTCACTTGGGCGCTGTACTGGTTGTAGACGCGGTTGTTGTACTGGTTGTTGTACTGGTTCTGAGAAGCGGATCCATAGCGGGTCAGAAGGTAGTTTTGGTTCTGGCTGTAGAGGCTGGGCGAAGGACGGTTCAGGTTCTGAGTGAAACGGTTGGTTCCATAACGCTGGAAGTTGTACCTGACGTCGTTGCGGCTGGAAAGGCTTTGGTCATAGTTCTGTTGGTACTGGTTGCGGTTCTGCTGGAACTGGTTGCGGTTCTGCTGGTACTGGTTGCGGTTCTGCTGGTACTGGTTGCGGTTCTGCTGGAACTGGTTGCGGTTCTGCTGGAACTGGTTGCGGTTCTGCTGGAATTGGTTGCGGTTCTGTTGATACTGGTTGAGGTTCTGCTGGAACTGGTTGCGGTTCTGCTGGTACTGGTTGAGATTCTGCTGGAACTGGTTGCGGTTCTGCTGGAACTGGTTGCGGTTCTGCTGGAACTGGTTGCGTTTATGTTGGTATTGATTGCGGTTCTGGTATTCATTTAAATTCTGGGAGTATTGATTACGGTTCTGTGAAAATTGATAACTATTCTTGCGGTCCTGTTGGTACTCGTTGAGGTTCCGAGAATACTGAATAGGGTTTAGCTGATATTCGTTGTTCTGCTGGTTCTGATAGCGGTTCTGTTGGTAATCGTTGCTGTACTGGGAGTACTGATTGCGGTTTTGTTGATACTGATTGCTGTTCTGAGAATATTGTCTCCTGTTTTCCAGATTCTGGTTGCGATTTTGTGAGTATTGGTACTGGTTACGGTTCTGTTGGTTTTGACTATAATTCTGGGAGTATTGGCCACGGTTCTGCTGGTCTTGGTTGCGGTTCTGGGAGTACTGGCCACGGTTCTGCTGGTACTGGTTGCGATTCTGTTGGTACTCATTGTAGTTCTGGGAGTACTGGCCACGGTTCTGCTGGTACTGGTTGCGATTCTGTTGGTACTCATTGTAGTTCTGGGAGTACTGGCCACGGTTCTGCTGGTACTGGTTGCGATTCTGTTGGTAGTTGGTTCCCTGTTGGATAGCACTGTACTGCTTGGCCTGAGCCTGCAGTCTCTGCTCCTGTCCCTGGAAAGCCTCGCCCGTGTACTCCTTGCGGACGGTGGCCTGGAAGCCTGTGCCGGGAGCCACCGAGTAGTCGACCACACGCAGAGACCCGTCGGGGTCCATGACCGAGTACTGACCCACCACCACGTCACCTCGACGTTCCTCTCGGGCAGACTTCATGTCCCCGGTGGATTTGGCGTCGACCTCGTAAGCCCAAGCGTACTCCGGGTTCTGAAGACATCAAGTGATAAAAAAAAATGGTTTATGGATCTAGAGAAAATCTACTATACATATCAACAAGGCAGTAGGATACTAACTGGATCGTTGTATTCGACTTGGCCAAGACTGTATTGCAGGGCCATCTCTTCAGAGCGTTCTTTGAAGGCTTGGGAGAAGGCCTGGTGGTTCTGGAAGAGTTCTGGGGAAGGCTGGAGTCCCTGCTCCACCTCCACGCCTCTTGAATCCAGCATATAGGAGCCATCCTGCGCTCCCACTCTTACGGCCGCGCCCACACACAGTAATATCGCTAATGCCAGCTGCAAAAGGTTAAAGATAAGGAAATTCACTGAAATAAAAGTAATACAAAACATATGCAAGAAAAAAAAATCTTTCTACTCTTCACCTTCATGGCGAGGGATACGAGGCGTGGCGTATAAAAATAAGTTATACAGAACAGGGAAAAGAAAGAAATATCTCTACTTTTTACCTTCATGGTCAGGAATACGAGGCTGATGCAGCACAGTCGACGGCGACCGCTTTATATAGCCAAGCAGTGGCCCCGCCCACCACGCTCGCAGATATCCTGCAAGGTCGGTCAGTCTGCCATCCTCATCCCTATCGTCTGTCTTCATAGCAAGGACATTGCTCCTTGAAGAACATCGATTGCAATTCAGATTTCATTTGAAATTTGTTTATTAAACGTTCTAAGTGACAGATTATAATCTACAAATAAAGAAGGAATCAAAGCAAAGTGAAAACTTTACCAGACCCATGCTTTCGTAAAACTCATGGCAACACATACACACACATATATACATATAAACATATATGTATATATATACGCATGTGTGCATGCGTGTTTTTATGTATGTGTATGAGTGTGTGTTTGTATGGGGACTTGTGTCTATGTGTATATATATAGATAAATAAACGAGTATATATGAGAGGCCATCGACAAGAATGGATGTCATACATTCGAAACGACAGTTGCTGTTCTTTTATCTTAAAAAAAAATAATAATAATAATAATAAGTGACAGAATATAATCTACATATAAAGAGTAGACCAAAGCAAGGTGAAAACTTTTCCAGACCCATTTTGTCATAAAACCCATGGCAATACATACACATACATATATATACATATATATGTATATGTGTATGAAAGTGTGCATGAGTGTTTTTTATTTATGTGCATGAGTGTGTTTGTGTGTGCCCTTGTGTCTATGTATATATATGTGTAGATAAACGAGTATATGTGAGTGGTCATCGCCATGAATGAATGTCATAAATTCAAAACGACGGTTTTATATTTTAAAAATACAAGTCGATTCTTTCACAGCACCGAAGAAATCTCGCAAGTGGATAGCCATGAATTTCGAATGAATGAAATTTAATCTTTCCATTTTGAAAAAGCTGATCCTAATGATGGTCCTAAACGTAACCCGCTGCTTCTGTACTAAGGATGATTTTATAAGTAACACTTCCATCCTTTTAATGCCAACATAAAGACAGTTCTCGTGATCTGCTATGCTTGCTGTTTGTTGGTCTTCTTATTTCAGTGTTAAACCCTTTATGCCTGGTATTTTGCATCACATTCTGGGTGTTAGAGTTTAGAATAACACTTGATATGTTTATTGAGTGTAACTTTTATTCTTTTATTCCGCAACATAGCGTTAAGGCTGACGTTCTTACAAATATCTAGCGGGAAATACTAATAATAATAGAGTTTCCACAATGATATTTTTTATTGTAATTTTTGTGTCTCACCCACGTATTTCCAAGGTAGTACCATCTACGGAGCGCAGTTGTAATGAAGAAATGTATCATCTCTCTCAATGCCTGGATAAATCAGTTTCATTTTATTCTACAGTCGAATTTAATCCTGCACGACTCCGGGTGCACAGTAAACAAAATAACGAAGGGAGGAACAAGAACACACACGACTATGCTGAGGGCCTTTTGGCTGTCTTGTTTTATTCAGGCCTTCGGCATATTCATGTTTTCTTGTCCTTCCCTGCTTTTTGTTTACTTTCTCCAGCACAAATCCTGAAAGGGTATACTGTACTGATAAAGTTAAAACTCCAGCACTGACTCACCTGGGAACACCATCTCGGGGATAGCAATAACCTCTATTTAACTACGGTCGCGGATCTGATATACTTTCAGAGATTGAAATCAGTAGCAAGCTTTTTTTTTATTTGGATTCGACTGCAATCGTCTACGGCCAAAGGGCATTACAGAGTTATCTTTATGTCTTCTAATATATACGAATATGAACTCCAGGTCATGACATGTTAGATACAATATAAAGAATTGTTTGCACCTCATCATACAGGTAACTTTAGCATGAGGGTAAAACTGTTAGAAGTTGCAATGTTCTTGATCATTATCATTTCCTTGATATCTAGTAAGAAGAAATATATAGTAGAAAAACCCACAATGTAAAAACTAGATTTATTGAAAGTGAGACTACAGTTTCGGAATCCAGCTGGAAAGGGAGAAGAGGTGGTATGGAAGAGAGAGGAAGGGCAACACGCACGCATATATATACATATACGTGTAGATCTGTCTCTCTTTATCTATTAGTTTGTCTTTTTATCTTTATCTATATCTATATGTTTATCATACACACACACACATATATATTTGTATATATGATATATATATAACACATCTACATATATATGCGTATATATTTGTGTATGCACATATATATATACATACAAATATATATGTATATGTATGTTCATACATATACACACACATATATATATATGTGCATGTACATATCTACATATAAATACATTTATCTATCTTCATACATGAATATATATAAATCAATTTATGTATGTGTGTGCGTCCAGTGTATCTTCCGTGTAGCCAAAAGAAAAGAAAACAAATCATAAAAAAAGTTATTTATTTTGTAAGAAGTTCAAAGTTTTTTCCCAACACCAAGAGAACCGTTTTAAGCCATTGTGAACGCCGTTTACGGTTCGTTGTCTAGGAAGTCCGTTGGCAATTCGGCTCACGTGTTAGTTCCTTGAGGAAGCGAGAACCACGCTGACGGGAGAGTAACCTTGGTTCTGCTGGTTCCTGTTCACTTGGGCGCTGTACTGGTTGTAGACGCGGTTGTTGTACTGGTTGCTGTACTGGTTCTGAGAAGCGGATCCATAGCGGGTCAGAAGGTAGTTTTGGTTCTGGCTGTAGAGGCTGGGCGAAGGACGGTTCAGGTTCTGAGTGAAACGGTTGGTTCCATAACGCTGGAAGTTGTACCTGACGTCGTTGCGGCTGGAAAGGCTTTGGTCATAGTTCTGTTGGTACTGGTTGCGGTTCTGCTGGAACTGGTTGCGGTTCTGCTGGAACTGGTTGCGGTTCTGCTGGTACTGGTTGCGGTTCTGCTGGAACTGGTTGCGGTTCTGCTGGAACTGGTTGCGGTTCTGTTGATACTGGTTGCGGTTCTGCTGGAATTGGTTGCGGTTCTGTTGATACTGGTTGAGGTTCTGCTGGAACTGGTTGCGGTTCTGCTGGAACTGGTTGCTGTTCTGCTGGAACTGGTTGCGGTTCTGCTGGAACTGGTTGCGGTTCTGCTGGAACTGGTTGCGTTTCTGTTGGTATTGATTGCGGTTCTGGTATTCATTTAAATTCTGGGAGTATTGATTACGGTTCTGTGAAAATTGATAACTATTCTTCTGGTACTGATTGCGGTCCTGTTGGTACTCGTTGAGGTTCCGAGAATACTGAATAGGGTTTAGCTGATATTCGTTGTTCTGCTGGTTCTGATAGCGGTTCTGTTGGTAATCGTTGCTGTACTGGGAGTACTGATTACGGTTTTGTTGATACTGATTGCTGTTCTGAGAATATTGTCTCCTGTTTTCCAGATTCTGGTTGCGATTTTGTGAGTATTGGTACTGGTTACGGTTCTGTTGGTTTTGACTATAATTCTGGGAGTATTGGCCACGGTTCTGCTGGTCTTGGTTGCGGTTCTGGGAGTACTGGCCACGGTTCTGCTGGTACTGGTTGCGATTCTGTTGGTACTCATTGTAGTTCTGGGAGTACTGGCCACGGTTCTGCTGGTACTGGTTGCGATTCTGTTGGTACTCATTGTAGTTCTGGGAGTACTGGCCACGGTTCTGCTGGTACTGGTTGCGATTCTGTTGGTAGTTGGTTCCCTGTTGGATAGCACTGTACTGCTTGGCCTGAGCCTGCAGTCTCTGCTCCTGTCCCTGGAAAGCCTCGCCCGTGTACTCCTTGCGGACGGTGGCCTGGAAGCCTGTGCCGGGAGCCACCGAGTAGTCGACCACGCGCAGAGACCCGTCGGGGTCCATGACCGAGTACTGACCCACCACCACGTCACCTCGACGTTCCTCTCGGGCAGACTTCATGTCCCCGGTGGATTTGGCGTCGACCTCGTAAGCCCAAGCGTACTCCGGGTTCTGAAGACAACAGCAAGTGATAAAAAGAAAAAAACTACTACTGCTGTCTCATAAATATAGAGAAAATCTACTCTACATATCAACAAGACAGTAGGATACTAACTGGATCGTTGTATTCGACTTGGCCAAGACTGTATTGCAGGGCCATCTCTTCAGAGCGTTCTTTGAAGGCTTGGGAGAAGGCCTGGTGGTTCTGGAAGAGTTCTGGGGAAGGCTGGAGTCCCTGCTCCACCTCCACGCCTCGTGAATCCAGCATATAGGAGCCATCCTGCGCTCCCACTCTTACGGCCGCGCCCACACACAGTAATATCGCTAATGCCAGCTGCAAAAGGTTAAAGATAAGGAAATTCACTGAAATAAAAGTAATACAAAACAGACAAGAAAAAAATATCTTTCTACTCTTTACCTTCATGGTGAGGGATACGAGGCGTGGCGTATAAAATTAGAATCAGATCATCGAATTATAAGTTATACAGAACAGGGAAAAGAAAGAAATATCTCTACTTTTTACCTTCATGGTCAGGAATACGAGGCTGATGCAGCACAGTCGACGGCGACCGCTTTATATAGCCAAGCAGTGGCCCCGCCCACCACGCTCGCGTCGTCTCGGATATCCTGTAAGGTCGGTCAGTCTGCCATCCTCATCCCTATCGTCTGTCTTCATAGCAAGGACATTGCTCCTTGAAGAACATCGATTGCAATTCAGATTTCATTTGAAATTTGTTTATTAAACGTTCTAAGTGACAGAATATAATCTACAAATAAAGAAGGAATCAAAGCAAAGTGAAAACTTTACCAGACCCATGCTTTCATAAAACCCATGGCAACACATACACACACATATATACATATAAACATATATGTATATATGTATACGTATGTGTGCATGCGTGTTTTTATGTATGTGTATGAGTGTGTTTGTATGGGGACTTGTGTCTATGTGTATATATATAGATAAATAAACGAGTATATATGAGAGGCCATCGACAAGAATGGATGTCATACATTTGAAACGACAGTTGCTGTTCTTTTATCTTAAAAAAAAAAATAATAATAATAAGTGACAGAATATAATCTACATATAAAGAGTAGACCAAAGCAAGGTGAAAACCTTTCCAGACCCATGGTTTCATAAAACCCATGGCAACACATACACATACACATATATACATATATATGTATATATGTATGAAAGTGTGCATGAGTGTTTTTTATTTATGTGCATGAGTGTGTTTGTGTGTGCCCTTGTGTCTATGTATATATATATATAGAGATATAGATAAACGAGTATATGTAAGTGGTCATCGCCATGAATGAATGTCATAAATTCGAAACGACGGCTTTATCTTTTAAAAATACAAGTCGATTCTCTCACAGCACCGAAGAAATCTCGCAAGTGGACAGCCGTGAATTTCGAATGAATGAAATTTAATCTTTCCATTTTGAAAAAGCTATTACGTTTTAAAGTTTACTGATCCTAATAATGATCCTAAACGTAACTCGCTGCTTCTGTACTAAGGATGATTTTATAAGCAACACTTCCACCCCTTTTATGCCAACAAAAATACGGTTCTCGTGATCTGTTATGCTTGCCGTGTGTTGGTCTTCTTGATTCAGTGTTAAACCCTTTATGCCTGGTATTTTGCATCACATTCTGGGTGTTAGAGTTTAGAATAACACTTGATATGTTTATTGACTTTTATTCTTTTATTCCGTAACACAGCGTTAAGGATGATGTTCTTACAAATATCTAGCGGGAAATACTGATAATAATAGAGTTTCCACAAGGATATTTTTTATTGTAATTTCTGTCTCTCGCCCACGTATTTCCAAGGTAGTACCATCTACGGAGTGAAGTTGTAATGAAGAAATGTATCATCTCTCAATCCTCAGATAAATCAGTTCCATTTTATTCTACAGTCGAATTTAATCCTGCGCGACTCCGGGTGCACAGTAAACAAAATAACGAAGGGAGGAACAAGAACACACGCGACTATGCTGAGGGCCTTTTGGCTGTCTTGTTTTATTCAGGCCTTCGGCATAGTCATGTTTTCTTGTTCTTCCCTACTTTTTGTTTACTTTCTCCAGCACGAAAACTGAAAGGGTATACTGTACTGATCAATTTAAAACTCCAGCACTGACTCACCTGGCAACACCATCTCGGGGATAGCAATAACCTTTATTTAACTACGGTCGCGGATCTGATATACTTTCAGAGATTGAAATCAGTAGCAAGCTTTTTTTGATTTGGATTCGACTGCAATCGTCTACGGCCAAAGGGCATTACAGAGTTATCCTTATGTCTTCCAATATATATGAATATGAATTCCAGGTCATGAAATGTTAGATAAAATATAAAGGATTGTTTGCACCTTATCATACAGGTAACTTTAGCATGAGGGTAAAACTGTTAGAAGTTGCAATGTTCTTGATCATTATCATTTCCTTGATATCTTGTAAGAAGAAATATATAGAAAAACCTACAATGTAAAAACTAGATTTATTGAAATTGAGACTACAGTTTCGGAATCCAGCTGGAAAGGGAGAAGAGGTGGTATGGAAGAGAGAGAGGAAGGGCAACGCGCACGCAAATATAGACATATACGTGTAGATCTGTCTCTCTTTATGTATTAGTTTGTCTTTTTATCTTTAACTATATCTATATGTTTATCATACACACACGCACATATATATTTGTATATATGATATATATAACACATATCTACATATATATGCGTATATATTTGTGTATGCACATATATGTATACATACAAACATATATGTCTATGTATGTTCATACATATACACACACATATATATGTGCATGTACATATCTACATATAAATACATTTATCTATCTTCATACATGAATATATATAAATCAATTTATGTATGTGTGTGCGTCCAGTGTATCTTCCGTGTAGCCAAAAGAAAAGAAAACAAATCATAAAAAAGTTATTTATTTTGTAAGAAGTTCAAAGTTTTTTCCCAACACCAAGAGAACCGTTTTAAGCCATTGTGAACGCCTTTTACGGTTCGTTGTCTAGGAAGTCCGTTGGCAATTCGGTTCGCTTGTTAGTTCCTTGAGGAAGCGAGAACCACGCTGACGGGAGAGTAACCTTGGTTCTGCTGGTTCCTGTTCACTTGGGCGCTGTACTGGTTGTAGACGCGGTTGTTGTACTGGTTGCTGTATTGGTTCTGAGAAGCGGATCCATAGCGGGTCAGAAGGTAGTTTTGGTTCTGGCTGTAGAGGCTGGGCGAAGGACGGTTCAGGTTCTGAGTGAAACGGTTGGTTCCATAACGCTGGAAGTTGTACCTGACGTCGTTGCGGCTGGAAAGGCTTTGGTCATAGTTCTGTTGGTACTGGTTGCGGTTCTGCTGGAACTGGTTGCTGTTCTGCTGGTACTGGTTGCGGTTCTGCTGGAACTGGTTGCGGTTCTGTTGGTACTGGTTGCGGTTCTGCTGGAACTGGTTGCGGTTCTGCTGGAACTGGTTGCGGTTCTGCTGGAATTGGTTGCGGTTCTGTTGATACTGGTTGAGGTTCTGCTGGAACTGGTTGCGGTTCTGCTGGTACTGGTTGAGATTCTGCTGGAACTGGTTGCGGTTCTGCTGGAACTGGTTGCGGTTCTGCTGGAACTGGTTGCGTTTCTGTTGGTATTGATTGCGGTTCTGGTATTCATTTAAATTCTGGGAGTATTGATTACGGTTCTGTGAAAATTGATAACTATTCTTGCGGTCCTGTTGGTACTCGTTGAGGTTCCGAGAATACTGAATAGGGTTTAGCTGATATTCGTTGTTCTGCTGGTTCTGATAGCGGTTCTGTTGGTAATCGTTGCTGTACTGGGAGTACTGATTGCCGTTTTGTTGATACTGATTGCGGTTCTGAGAATATTGTCTCCTGTTTTCCAGATTCTGGTTGCGATTTTGTGAGTATTGGTACTGGTTACGGTTCTGTTGGTTTTGATTATAATTTTGGGAGTACTGGCCACGGTTCTGTTGGTCTTGGTTGCGGTTCTGGGAGTACTGGCCACGGTTCTGCTGGTACTGGTTGCGATTCTGTTGGTACTCATTGTAGTTCTGTGAATACTGGCCACGGTTCTGCTGGTACTGGTTGCGATTATGTTGGTACTCATTGTAGTTCTGGGAGTACTGGCCACGGTTCTGCTGGTACTGGTTGCGGTTCTGTTGGTAGTTGGTTCCCTGTTGGATAGCACTGTACTGCTTGGCCTGAGCCTGCAGTCTCTGCTCCTGTCCCTGGAAAGCCTCGCCCGTGTACTCCTTGCGGACGGTGGCCTGGAAGCCTGTGCCGGGAGCCACCGAGTAGTCGACCACACGCAGAGACCCGTCGGGGTCCATGACCGAGTACTGACCCACCACCACGTCACCTCGACGTTCCTCTCGGGCAGACTTCATGTCCCCGGTGGATTTGGCGTCGACCTCGTAAGCCCAAGCGTACTCCGGGTTCTGAAGACAACATCAAGTGATAAAAAGAAAAAAGAAAAAAAAAAACATACATACTACTACTGGCTTATGAGTATAGAGAAAATCTAATATACATATCAGCAAGGCAGTGAGATACTAACTGGATCATTGTATTCGACTTGGCCAAGACTGTATTGCAGGGCCATCTCTTCAGAGCGTTCTTTGAAGGCTTGGGAGAAGGCCTGGTGGTTCTGGAAGAGTTCTGGGGAAGGCTGGAGTCCCTGCTCCACCTCCACGCCTCTTGAATCCAGCATATAGGAGCCATCCTGCGCTCCCACTCTTACGGCCGCGCCCACACACAGTAATATCGCTAATGCCAGCTGCAAGAGGTTAAAGATAAGGAAATTCACTGAAATAAAAGTAATACAAAACATAAACAAGAAAATAAAATCTTTCTACTCTTCACCTTCATGGCGAGGGATACGAGGCGTGGCGTATAAAAATAAGTTATACAGAACAGGGAAAAGAAAGAAATATCTCTACTTTTTACCTTCATGGTGAGGAATACGAGGCTGATGCAGCGAAGTCGACGGCGACCGCTTTATATAGCCAAGCAGTGGCCCCGCCCACCACGCTCGCGTCGTCTCGGATATCCTGTAAGGTCGGTCAATCTGCCATCCTCATCCCTATCGTCTGTCTTCATAGCAAGGACATTGCTCCTTGAAGAACATCGATTGCAATTCAGATTTCATTTGAAATTTGTTTATTAAACGTTCTAAGTGACAGATTATAATCTACAAATAAAGAAAGAATCAAAGCAAAGTGAAAACTTTATGTATATATGTATACGTATGTGTGCATGCGTGTTTTTATGTATGTGTATGAGTGTGTGTTTGTATGGGCACTTGTGTCTATGTGTATATATATAGATAAATAAACGAGTATATATGAGAGGCCATCGACAAGAATGGATGTCATACATTCGAAACGACAGTTGCTGTTCTTTTATCTTAAAAAAAAAAAATAAGTGACAGAATATAATCTACATATAAAGAGTAGACCAAAGCAAGGTGAAAACCTTTCCAGACCCATTTTGTCATAAAACCCATGGCAACACATACACATACACATATATACATATATATGTATATGTGTATGAAAGTGTGCATGAGTGTTTTTTATTTATGTGCATGAGTGTGTTTGTGTGTGCCCTTGTGTCTATGTATATATATATATAGATAGATAGATAAACGAGTATATGTAAGTGGTCATCGCCATGAATGAATGTCATAAATTCGAAACGACGGTTTTATCTTTTAAAAATACAAGTAGATTCTTTCACAGCACCGAAGAAATCTCGCAAGTGGACAGCCGTGAATTTCGAATGAATGAAATTTAATCTTTCCCTTTTGAAAAAGCTACAGCGTTTTAAAGTTTACTGATCCTAATAATGATCCTAAACGTAACTCGCTGCTTCTGCACTAAGGATGATTTTATAAGTAACACTTCCATCCCTTTTATGCCAACATAAAGACAGTTCTCGTGATCTGTTATACTTGCTGTTTGTTGGTCTTCTTGTTTCAGTGTTAAACCCTTTATGCCTGGTATTTTGCATCACATTCTGGGTGTTAGAGTTTAGAATAACACTTGATATGTTTATTGACTTTTATTCTTTTATTCCGTAACACAGCGTTAAGGCTGATGTTCTTACAAATATCTAGCGGGAAATACTAATGATAATAGAGTTTTCACAAGGATATTTTTTATTGTAATTTCTGTCTCTCGCCCACGTATTTCCAAGGTAGTACCATCTACGGAGTGCAGTTGTAATGAAGAAATGTATCATCTCTCCCAGTCCTTAGATAAATCAGTTCCATTTTATTCTACAGTCGAATTTAATCCTGCGCGACTCCGGGTGCACAGTAAACAAAATAACGAAGGGAGGAACAAGAACACACGCGACTATGCTGAGGGCCTTTTGGCTGTCTTGTTTTATTCAGGCCTTCGGCATAGTCATGTTTTCTTGTCCTTCCCTTTTTGTTTACTTTCTCCAGCACGAATCCTGAAAGGGTATACTGTACTGATCAATTTAAAACTCCAGCACTGACTCACCTGGCAACACCATCTCGGGGATAGCAATAACCTTTATTTAACTACGGTCGCGGATCTGATATACTTTTAAAGATTGAAATCAGTAGCAAGCTTTTTTTCATTTGGATTCGACTGCAATCGTCTACGGCCAAAGGGCATTACAGAGTTATCTTTATGTCTTCTAATATATACGAATATGAACTCCAGGTCATGACATGTTAGATACAATATAAAGAATTGTTTGCACCTCATCATACAGGTAACTTTAGCATGAGGGTAAAACTGTTAGAAGTTGCAATGTTCTTGATCATTATCATTTCCTTGATATCTTGTAAGAAGAAATATATAGTAGAAAAACCCACAATGTAAAAATTAGATTTATTGAAATTGAGACTACAGTTTCGGAATCCAGCTGGAAAGGGAGAAGAGGTGGTATGGAAGAGAGAAAGGAAGGGCAACACGCACGCATATATATACATATACGTGTAGATCTGTCTCTCTTTATCTATTAGTTTGTCTTTTTATCTTTATCTATATCTATATGTTTATCATACACACACCCACATATATATTTGTATATATGATATATATATAACACATATCTACATATATATGCGTATATATTTGTGTATGCACATATATATATACATACAAACATATATATATATGTATGTTCATACATATACACACACATATATATATATGTGCACGTACATATCTACATATAAATACATTTATCTATCTTCATACATGAATATATATAAATCAATTTATGTATATGTATATGTGTGTATGCATGTATATGTGTGTGCGTGCAGTGTATCTTCGGTATGGCCAAAAGAAAAGAAAACAAATCATAAAAAAGAAGTTATTTATTTTGCAAGAAGTTCAAAGTTTTTTGCCCAACACCAAGAGAACCGTTTTAAGCCATTGTGAACGCCTTTTACGGTTCGTTGTCTAGGAAGTCCGTTGGCAATTCGGTTCGCTTGTTAGTTCCTTGAGGAAGCGAGAACCACGCTGACGGGAGAGTAACCTTGGTTCTGCTGGTTCCTGTTCACTTGGGCGCTGTACTGGTTGTAGACGCGGTTGTTGTACTGGTTCGGAGAACCGGATCTATAGCGGGTCAGAAGGTAGTTTTGGTTCTGGCTGTAGAGGCTGGGCGAAGGACGGTTCAGGTTCTGAGTGAAGCGGTTGGTTCCATAACGCTGGAAGTTGTACCTGACGTCGTTGCGGTTGGAAAGGCTTTGGTCATAGTTCTGTTGGTACTGGTTGCGGTTCTGCTGGAACTGGTTGCGGTTCTGCTGGAACTGGTTGCTGTTCTGCTGGAACTGGTTGCGGTTCTGCTGGAACTGGTTGAGGTTCTGTTGGTACTGGTTGCGGTTCTGCTGAAACTGGTTGCGGTTCTGTTGGTACTGGTTGCGGTTCTGCTGGAACTGGTTGCGGTTCTGCTGGTACTGGTTGCGGTTCTGCTGGAACTGGTTGCGGTTCTGCTGGTACTGGTTGAGGCTTTGCTGGAACTGGTTGCGGTTCTGCTGGAACTGGTTACGGTTCTGTTGGTATTGGTTGCGGTTCTGGTATTCATTTAAATTCTGGGAGTATTGATTACGGTTCTGTGAAAATTGATAACTATTCTTCTGGTACTGATTGCGGTCCTGTTGGTACTCGTTGAGGTTCCGAGTATACTGAATAGGGTTTAGCTGGTACTCGTTGTTCTGCTGGTTCTGATAGCGGTTCTGTTGGTACTCGTTGTTGTACTGGGAGTACTGATTGCGGTTTTGTTGATACTGATTGCGGTTCTGAGAATATTGTCTCCTATTTTCCAGGTTCTGGTTGCGATTTTGTGAGTACTGGTACTGGTTACGGTTCTGTTGGTTTTGATTGTAGATCTGTGAGTACTGGCCACGGTTCTCTTGGTACTGGTTGCGGTTCTGTGGATACTGGCCACGGTTCTGCTGGTACTGGCGATTTTGTTGGTACTCATTGTAGTTCTGGGAGTACTGGCCACTGTTCTGCTGGTACTGGTTGCGGTTCTGTTGGTAGTTGCTTCCCTGTTGGATAGCACTGTACTGCTTGGCCTGAGCCTGCAGTCTCTGCTCCTGTCCCTGGAAAGCCTCGCCCGTGTACTCCTTGCGGACGGTGGCCTGGAAGCCTGTGCCGGGAGCCACCGAATAGTCGACCACACGCAGAGACCCGTCGGGGTCCATGACCGAGTACTGACCCACCACCACATCACCTCGACGTTCCTCTCGGGCAGACTTCATGTCCCCGGTGGATTTGGCGTCGACCTCGTAAGCCCAAGCGTACTCCGGGTTCTGAAGACATCAAGTGATAAAAAAAATGGTTTATGAATATAGAGAAAATCTACTATACATATCAACAAGGCAGTAGGATACTAACTGGATCGTTGTATTCGACTTGGCCAAGACTGTATTGCAGGGCCATCTCTTCTGAGCGTTCTTTGAAGGCTTGGGAGAAGGCCTGGTGGTTCTGGAAGAGTTCTGGGGAAGGCTGGAGTCCCTGCTCCACCTCCACGCCTCGCGAATCCAGCATATAGGAGCCATCCTGCGCTCCCACCCGTGTGACAGCGCCCACACACAGTAATATCGCCAATGCCAGCTGCAAGAGGTTAAAGATAAGGAAATTCACTGAAATAAAAGTAATACAAAACATAGACAAGAAAAAAATATATCTCTACTCTTTACCTTCATGGTGAGGGATACGAGGCGTGGCGTATAAAATTAGAATCAGATCATCGAATTATAAGTTATACAGAACAGGGAAAAGAAATAAATATCTACTTTTTACCTTCATGGTGAGGAATGCGAGGCTGATGCAGCGAAGTCGACGGCGACCGCTTTATATAGCCAAGCAGTGGCCCCGCCCACCACGCTCGCATCGCCTCGGATATCTTGTAAGGTCGGTCAGTCTGCCATCCTCATCCCTATCGTCTGTCTTCATAGCAAGGACATTGCTCCTTGAAGAACATCGATTGAAATTCAGATTTCATTTGAAATTTGTTTATTGAACGTTCTAAGTGACAGATTATAATCTACAAATAAAGAAGGAATCAAAGTAAAGTGAAAACTTTACCAGACCCATGCTTTCATAAAACCCATGGCAACACATAGACACACATATACATATAAACATATATGTATATATGTATACGTATGTGTGCATGCGTGTTTTTATGTATGTATATGAGTGTGTTTGTATGGGCACTTGTGTCTATGTGTATATATATATAAATAAACGAATATATATGAGAGGCCATCGACAAGAATGAATGTCATACATTTGAAACGACAGTTGCTGTTCTTTTATCTTAAAAAAAATAATAATAATAAGTGACAGAATATAATCTACATAAAGAATAGACCAAAGCAAGGTGAAAACTTTTCCAGACCTATGTTGTCATAAAACCCATGGCAACATATATACATATATATGTATGTGTATGAAAGTGTGCATGAGTGTTTTTTATTTATGTGCATGAGTGTGTGTGTGCCCTTGTGTCTCTCTATATATAGATTGATAGATAAACGAGTATATGTGAGTGGTCATCTCCATGAATGAATGTCATAAATTAGTAACGACGGTTTTATCTTTTAGACATACAAGTCGATTCTTTCACAGTACCGAAGAAATCTCACAAACTGATCCTAATAATGATCCTAAACGTAACTCGCTGCTTCTCTACTAAGGATGATTTTATAAGTAACACTTCCACCCCTTTTATGCCAACATAAAGACGGTTCTCGTGATCTGTTATGCTTGCCGTTTGTTGGTCTTCTTGTTTCAGTGTTAAACCCTTTATGCCTGGTATTTTGCATCACATTCTGGGTGTTAGAGTTTAGAATAACACTTGATATGTTTACTGACTTTTATTCTTTTATTCCGTAACACAGCGTTAAGGATGATGTTCTTACAAATATCTAGCGGGAAATACTTCTATTAATAGAGTTTCCACAAGGATATTTTTTATTGTAATTTCTGTCTCTCGCCCACGTATTTCCAAGGTAGTACCATCTACGGAGTGAAGTTGTAATGAAGAAATGTATCATCTCTCAATCCTCAGATAAATCAGTTCCATTTTATTCTACAGTCGAATTTAATCCTGCGCGACTCCGGGTGCACAGTAAACAAAATAACGAAGGGAGGAACAAGAACACACGCGACTATGCTGAGGGCCTTTTGGCTGTCTTGTTTTATTCAGGCCTTCGGCATATTCATGTTTTCTTGTCCTTCCCTACTTTTTGTTTACTTTCTCCAGCACGAATCCTGAAAGGGTATACTGTACTGATCAAGTTAAAATTCCAGCACTGACTCACCTGGCAACACCATCTCGGGGATAGCAATAACCTTTATTTAACTACGGTCGCGGATCTGATATACTTTCAGAGATTTAAATCAGTAGCAAGCTTTTTTTTATTTGGATTCGACTGCAATCGTCTACGGCCAAAGGGCATTACAGAGTTATCCTTATGTCTTCCAATATATATGAATATGAATTCCAGGTCATGAAATGTTAGATAAAATATAAAGGATTGTTTGCACCTTATCATACAGGTAACTTTAGCATGAGGGTAAAACTGTTAGAAGTTGCAATGTTCTTGATCATTATCATTTCCTTGATATCTTGTAAGAAGAAATATATAGAAAAACCTACAATGTAAAAACTTGATTTATTGAAATTGAGACTACAGTTTCGGAATCCAGCTGGAAAGGGAGAAGAGGTGGTATGAAAGAAAGAGAGGAAGGGCAACGCGCACGCATATATAGACATATACGTGTAGATCTCTCTCTTTATGTATTAGTTTGTCTTTTTATCTTTATCTATATCTATATGTTTATCATACACACACGCACATATATATTTGTATATATGATATATATATAACACATATCTACATATATATGCGTATATATTTGTGTATGCACATATATGTATACATACAAACATATATGTCTATGTATGTTCATACATATACACACACATATATATGTGCATGTACATATCTACATATAAATACATTTATCTATCTTCATACATGAATATATATAAATCAATTTATGTATGTGTGTGCGTCCAGTGTATCTTCCGTGTAGCCAAAAGAAAAGAAAACAAATCATAAAAAAAAGTTATTTATTTTGTAAGAAGTTCAAAGTTTTTTCCCAACACCAAGAGAACCGTTTTGAGCCATTGTGAACGCCTTTTACGGTTCGTTGTCTAGGAAGTCCGTTGGCAATTCGGTTCGCGTGTTAGTTCCTTGAGGAAGCGAGAACCACGCTGACGGGAGAGTAACCTTGGTTCTGCTGGTTCCTGTTCACTTGGGCGCTGTACTGGTTGTAGACGCGGTTGTTGTACTGGTTGCTGTACTGGTTCTGAGAAGCGGATCCATAGCGGGTCAGAAGGTAGTTTTGGTTCTGGCTGTAGAGGCTGGGCGAAGGACGGTTCAGGTTCTGATTGAAGCGGTTGGTTCCATAACGCTGGAAGTTGTACCTGACGTCGTTGCGGCTGGAAAGGCTTTGGTCATAGTTCTGTTGGTACTGGTTGCGGTTCTGCTGGAACTGGTTGCTGTTCTGCTGGTACTGGTTGCGGTTCTGCTGGAACTGGTTGCGGTTCTGTTGGTACTGGTTGCGGTTCTGCTGGAACTGGTTGCGGTTCTGTTGATACTGGTTGAGGTTCTGCTGGAACTGGTTGCGGTTCTGCTGGTACTGGTTGAGATTCTGCTGGAACTGGTTGCGGTTCTGCTGGAACTGGTTGCGGTTCTGCTGGAACTGGTTGCGTTTCTGTTGGTATTGATTGCGGTTCTGGTATTCATTTAAATTCTGGGAGTATTGATTACGGTTCTGTGAAAATTGATAACTATTCTTGCGGTCCTGTTGGTACTCGTTGAGGTTCCGAGAATACTGAATAGGGTTTAGCTGATATTCGTTGTTCTGCTGGTTCTGATAGCGGTTCTGTTGGTACTCGTTGCTGTACTGGGAGTACTGATTGCTGTTCTGAGAATATTGTCTCCTGTTTTCCAGATTCTGGTTGCGATTTTGTGAGTATTGGTACTGGTTACGGTTCTGTTGGTTTTGACTATAATTCTGGGAGTATTGGCCACGGTTCTGCTGGTCTTGGTTGCGGTTCTGGGAGTACTGGTCACGGTTCTGCTGGTACTGGTTGCGATTCTGTTGGTACTCATTGTAGTTCTGTGAATACTGGCCACGGTTCTGCTGGTACTGGTTGCGATTCCGTTGGTACTCATTGTAGTTCTGGGAGTACTGGCCACGGTTCTGCTGGTACTGGTTGCGATTCTGTTGGTAGTTGGTTCCCTGTTGGATAGCACTGTACTGCTTGGCCTGAGCCTGCAGTCTCTGCTCCTGTCCCTGGAAAGCCTCGCCCGTGTACTCCTTGCGGACGGTGGCCTGGAAGCCTGTGCCGGGAGCCACCGAGTAGTCGACCACGCGCAGAGACCCGTCGGGGTCCATGACCGAGTACTGACCCACCACCACGTCACCTCGACGTTCCTCTCGGGCAGACTTCATGTCCCCGGTGGATTTAGCGTCGACCTCGTAAGCCCAAGCGTACTCCGGGTTCTGAAGACAACAAGTGATAAAAAAAATGATTTATGGATATAGAGAAAATCTACTATACATATCAACAATGCAGTAGGATACTTACTGGATCATTGTATTCGACTTGGCCAAGACTGTATTGCAGGGCCATCTCTTCAGAGCGTTCTTTGAAGGCTTGGGAGAAGGCCTGGTGGTTCTGGAAGAGTTCTGGGGAAGGCTGGAGTCCCTGCTCCACCTCCACGCCTCTTGAATCCAGCATATAGGAGCCATCCTGCGCTCCCACTCTTACGGCCGCGCCCACACACAGTAATATCGCTAATACCAGCTGCAAGAGGTTAAAGATAAGGAAATTCACTGAAATAAAAGTAATACAAAACATATACAAGAAAAAAAAATCTTTCTACTCTTCACCTTCATGGCGAGGGATACGAGGCGTGGCGTATAAAAATAAGTTATACAGAACAGGGAAAAGAAAGAAATATCTCTACTTTTTACCTTCGTGGTGAGGAATACGAGGCTGATGCAGCGAAGTCGACGGCGACCGCTTTATATAGCTAAGCAGTGGCCCCGCCCACCACGCTCGCGTCGCCTCAGATATCCTGCAAGGTTGGTCAGTCTGCCATCCTCATCCCTATCGTCTGTCTTCATAGCAAGGACATTGCTCCTTGAAGAACATCGATTGCAATTCAGATTTCATTTGAAATTTGTTTATTAAACGTTCTAAGTGACAGAATATAATCTACAAATAAAGAAGGAATCAAAGCAAAGTGAAAACTTTACCAGACCCATGCTTTCGTAAAACTCATGGCAACACATACACACACATATATACATATAAACATATATGTATATATGTATACGTATGTGTGCATGCGTGTTTTTATGTATGTGTATGAGTGTGTTTGTATGTGCACTTATGTCTATGTGTATATATATAGATAAATAAACGAGTATATATGAGAGGCCATCGACAAGAATGAATGTCATACATTCGAAACGACAGTTGCTGTTCTTTTATCTTTAAAAAATAAGTGACAGAATATAATATATATATAAAGAGTAGACCAAAGCAAGGTGAAAACTTTTCCAGACCCATGGTTTCATAAAACCCATGGCAACACATACACATACACATATACATATATATGTATATATGTATGAAAGTGTGCATGTGTTTTTTATTTATGTGCATGAGTGTGTTTGTGTGTGCCCTTGTGTCTATGTATATATATAGAGAGATAGATAAACGAGTATATGTTAGTGGTCATCGCCATGAATGGATGTCATAAATTCGAAACGACGGTTTTATCTTTTAAAAGTACAAGTCGATTCTTTCACAGCGCCGAAGAAATCTCACAAGTGGACAGCCATGAATTTCGAATGAATGAAATTTAATCTTTCCATTTTGAAAAAGCTACTACGTTTTAAAGTTTACTGATCCTAATAATGATCCTAAACGTAACTCGCTGCTTCTGTACTAAGGATGATTTTATAAGTAACACTTCCACTCCTTTTATGCCAACATAAAGACGGTTCTCGTGATCTGTTATGCTTGCCGTTTGTTGGTCTTCTTGTTTCAGTGTTAAACCCTATTATGCCTGGTATTTTGCATCACATTCTGAGTGTTAGAGTTTAGAATAACACTTGATATGTTTATTGAATTTTATTCTTTTATTCCGTAACACAGCGTTAAGGCTGAT